AATAGAGTTGATAAGAGTTGAGATGAAAGCTCTCTGTGGAGGGAATTTGGGAATATAATTGAAAGAGGAGATACCAAAGACTTCAGGGGTGTCCACAGCTAAAAAGCATGAGAAAAGTCACCAAGTTTTTGTTCCTCTCCTGGGGTTGACAGCAGGGTGTTTTATGCTGTTATGGTCTCAGAGAATCCGTCCTGCTTATCACTGCTCCAGTGACTGAAAGCTGAAGATGCTGTTTTCAGAAGGCCATAAATTAGACCTGGAATTCTTAGGATAAACATCTTCAAGATTTATATGTGCAGCCTCTCTAATTACAGCTATGAAGAGGTCTCGACCTGGCAGATAGCAATGATACCTGCACATTCTTTCGAGTCCCTGGACGGTAGGAGTACAGTCTCTCCCTAACCACTGCAGAGAACTTTCCCAAATGATCTATGGGAAGACCAGAGACTTTGAAAAATTGATTTTGAGAATGAAGACCCTACACCCAGTGGGAAAAGGAGCTCTAAAAATACCATGATGAACTTGGGAGGGGTGTGTGTGTGTGTGTGTGTGTGTGTGTGTGTGTTCTCACTGGGTTTCTTTAGGGTTAAATTGCTGATCAGGGGAATTTTCCTTTCAGCTTTGACTTTCAGACATTATCTTCAATAAGTACGGAAATCTACTCTCAGAGTCACCTTGATACATCTTTGCTAGGATGGCTATAGCTGCCCAACAGTAGAATTAACTCACCACCCTTTAATTGTCCATCAGTGTAGCCTGAGAAATGGCTTTAAAGGCATGTGACCTAGGTTTGACTCTGTGTTACTAGGCAATTCATAACTTTTGGGCCTCAATTTCCTCATTTGTAAAATGAGGAAGTTAGATCAGATGATTCCCAAAGTCCCTTTCAGTTCACTATTCTGTGAGCTAATCTCCTTTTCCCCTGGCACTACAATTGTGAAGCTGGAAAGAGGAGGGTACCTAATTCTAAAATGGCATGAGAAAATAATAATTATTATGATGTATGGTTTAGAACCCCAGCTTTGGATTTATGCTAATTAAATTCAGTCTTGGAATGTCTGTTGAAATTCTCTCACTGGTTCATGCTACACTCATTGTTTCCCTTAGGAACAGGAAGTTACCTGGTTCTGTACCCACCCAGTCTTCCCTGGAACATCAGAATATAGCTAATGTCTAACAAAAAGAGAACAAGGACCAGAATTTCCATGCAAGCACTCACACTAACAATATGTCTAATACCAATAAAGTTTTATTTCATCTGATAGAAATTGTGAAATATTTTTATAATTTTTTAAAATTAGGCAACTCTCTAAGTCTTTGAGGTGCAGAGAAAGTGCCAATCTTCATTAACAGAGGGAGTTTTTTCATGGGGAGTTCCTTATACTAGTAAAATCACACATTGGCTGTCATTTTTTTTTAATCTTTTTTCAAATTTTTTTATTATGAACTTGATAACCAGCAACAAACATGATCATTTCCATATACAAAGAACAGAAAATGAGAAATGTATATGAAATCATGAATCTTAATTTTGTACAGGTTGTTTTTTTATTTTATTTTAATAAATTAAGCCTAGCAATTCCAATATTTTCTGGCTTGTTTGGGTCTCTTCATGAACTGTTTTCTGATGCCTTCTCCTTATGTACAAAAGTTTCATTGAAACTCTTTTCTTTCTTTTCTTCATTTTTTTAGCATTGCTCTTACTACCCTTGATCCCCATTAGCTCTTCTAACGACCCCTCAACAAAACAAAATGAAACAAAAGATGCCTTCCTTTGTAGCAAATAAGTATACTCAGACAAAAGAGATTCACACCCTGCCTAGGTCAGCACATCGCTGGACACACAGTAGGCTTTAATAATGTTTATTGATTGATTGAATAATGATTCCTTATCAGTCTTCTGGAGCTGTGATTGTTCATTACATTAACACACAAAAGACTCATAAATTGTGCACTAACAAATACTTGAAACATAAGACAATCAGCTATTACCTAGTTAAACCCCTAAAGGTAAAGGCATTTTGTGGGATTGCTGAACAGATATTTCACTTTCATTTTCAACCTGCATGCAACTCATAATTCTAAGTCTCTTTGCAAGCCAGAGTATAGTTTGGGCTTTCCTAGTCATTTCACACTTTCCCACAAGATTTAAGTCCATCAATCAACAAACAAGCATTTTATTAAGCACTGATTATGTGCCAGGCATTGAGCATTTAAATAGTGGGATAAAACATTCCCTGTTCACAAGAAGCTTACATTCTAATGGATGGGTGGGTGGATGGATGGATGGATAGATAGATACCCACGTGTGTACCTGTGTGTATGTATGTGTACCAATGGATATGTGTATATATACATAGGTAGTGTATATACTATACATATAGTATTACAAAATAAATGTAAAAAGAATAAATACAAAGTATTTAGGAAGAAAGGCACTAACGACTGGGGGAATCAGATAAAACTTCACATAGAAGATGGTGCTTGAACAGCATCTTAAAGAAAGAGGAGGAGCCCATCAAGCAGAGGTAAGGAGGGAAACATATTCCAGTCATGAGACAACCACTGAAAAGCATTGAGATAGAAGATGGAGTACCATGAGTGAGGAATAGAGTACCAACCCAATTTGGTAAAGATCACAGAATAAGGGGGAGGAAACAATGTATTGGACTACAAAAGTAAATTGAGGCCAGGTAGTAAAGGGCTTTAAAAACTAAACAGAGGAGTTTCTATTTTATCATGGAGTCATGGGAGTTGATCAAGCAGAGAAGTGACATGGTCAGATCTTTACCTAAGGAAAATGACTTTGTCAGGCGTGGGAGGATAGACTGAAATGGAGAAAGATGAGGCAGGGAGACTAATTAGGAGATTACAGCAACAATCTAATTGAAGGCGACGAGGGCCTGAACTAGAAGGAGTGGCTGTGACAGTAGAAAGAATGGGTCTAATGCAAGAGATGTAGAGGTAGAAGAAGAAAGATTTGACAACTGATTCTAAATTATAGATTTAGAGCTGGAAGGGACCTCAGAGAGTGTCTATCCCAGCCACCCTCATTGTATATATCAGGAACTGAGGGCCTAGAAAGGTTTAGTCACTTGCCTAGGGTCATACAATTAGTAAGTATCTGAGGTATGATTTGAACCCAGATCTTCTTGACTCTAAGTCTGTTCTTGACCGACTGTGCCTCTTATAGTCTTAGAGAGTTGCCTAAGACACTTTAGGTTAAGTGATTTGGACCTGTGGAGTGAGTAAGAATAAGGAGTCCACGAAGACGATGAACGAACCCAAGAGACTAGAGGAATGGTGTTGTCTTTGACATAATTAGTAAGTTTAGAAGGGGCGGGGAGTGAATGGAAAGAAGAAGAGATAATCAGCTCCGTTTTGGATATATTGAGTTTGAGATATCTAGGGGCATCTAGTTTGAAATGTACACTAGACAACTGGCGATGAGACTGAAACTCAAGGGAGAGAATGGAGTTGGACATACCGATCTATTAGTTATGTGCAAAGCTATGATAATGAAATTCAAGCAGACTAATGAAGTCATCAAAAGAAAGAGTGCAGAGACTGAAAAGAAGAGGGATCAGGACAGCACCTTGGAGAACACTAGCGGGAGACGAGTCAGTAAAGGAGATTGAGAAGAATTGATCAGACATGTAGGAAGAGAGCCAGGGGAGAGTAGTAACAGGAAATCCCAGAGAAGACAAAGCGTCCTGGAGAAAAGGGTAGTCAACAGTGTCAAATGGAACAGAGAGGTCAAGAAGAATGAGAACTGGAAAAAAAATCATTAAACTTAGAAATTTAAAAGTCCTTGGGAATTTTAGACGGAAGAGCTTCAAATGAAAGATAAAATTGGAAGGCAGATGGCAAAGGACTGAGGAGTGAGATGAAAGGAAGTGGAAGTAGTATTGTAGAAAATGTTTTTTTCTTGGAGTTTGGCTAAGAAAGGGAGGGACGATAACTTAAAGGGATGATAGAGTCTAGTTAAGGTCTTTCTAAGGATGGAGGAGATTTGGACATGTTTAAAAACATTAGTGAAAGACCCAGTAAATAAAGAGAAGTTGAAGATTGGAGAAAGCAAGGAGGTGATTAAAGGGGCCATCTCCTGGAGAAATCCAGGAAAGATGGGACCAAGTATACATGCAGAACAGTCGGCCCTGGCAAAGAGAAAGGCCGTCTCATAATCAGAAACTGGGAGAAAGATGGAGACAGGGATACTGTGGTTTTGAGGTGAAAAAAGGGAGCATTAGGTAAGCACTCACTGTATGCTTAGCACTGTGCTAAGTCCTGGAGAAACAAAGAAAAAGAGAAAAGAGTCCCTCCCCTCAAGGAGCTTACATTCTAGTAGACAACATACATACATACATATATATGTGTGTGTGTGTGTGTGTGTGTGTGTGTGTGTGTGTGTGTGTGTATATACACACACACACACACACACACACACACACACACGCATATATGTGTAGGCTTTCTGCGGAAGATGGTATTTGAACTGTCTTAACATAGATTTCTCAAACATGGCTACTGTAGACATTTGTTTTGCTTGACCAAGCATATTTGTTTAAAAAGGGGGGAGGGGTGTTTTTGTTTTTCTGTTGAAGTGGTGGAGCGTAAGGACGTGTAAGGTAGGGTTAGGGAAGCCCAAAAAAAGAAAGAAAAATAAAAGAATGAATTGAATCTTCAAGCTTTATGATGTCAGGAACCTAATTTCATCTAAATGTTCACTATTGGAAATTACTATTTTTTTCTCCTTCCCTGAAAAGCAATGCTGAAGGATACATGGTTCCCCTCTGCCCTGAGGATGGTAATGTTTTAAGAAATAGCCTAAGCACAGTGCCCAGCGCATGGTAGATACTTAAATGCTTTTTGAACTAAATTGATTTGAATAACCCTTCCTAGCTGAATATAGAGGGATTTATAGATCTAAAGGGACAATTAGGGGAAAATTGGAGTGTATGGGTAAGCTTTTAGACTCATTATGATTAGAGGTATGGGTAGGAAACATGCCACCTGGGTGGTGGGAGGAAGGGGACATCAAACTTCGATTTCACCCTTGTCTATGACAGAGACTCATTCACAAAAATGAGATCAGGATATTTCTGTTCCTGATTCCTGAGCAATTCTTTTGTGCAAAACCTAAGATGGGTGGGAGAGGTTTCAAAGTGAAAACATGCTAGTGAGATACATCTTTCAAGCTGTAATGGCACCATGATAGGGAAACTCTGAAGTTCTAGCCTCTGACATACTGAGAAGACCCACAAGAGGAGAAATTTTCCAGTGGGAGAAGAGCCAATAGGATCACTCCAAGTGAAAGTAGAGGAGCAGAAGGAAGCTGGAATACTGCATAAGGAATTAACTCCACCTACAGGAAGAACAGCAGAGAATTAGAGAGTTATGTAATATAACGAGCAGATGTCACACTACTGAGGGACTACAAGCAATGTCATTGGCTAGAAGTTATACCCAATGCACAGCTGTGAGTAATGGAATCTATATATGTCTGAGGTGGGGGGGGAGATTGGCTACTGATTGGCCAATACCAATATTTTCCATGGACTCTGTTATAAGTTCTTCATTGTTTGGGGGAAGGGAGGGGGCTGATAAATAAAATATTTTAAATAAATGAATAAAATATTTCTGCCTTGACCTTTGTGAACTGTTTGCTTACAAGTGGAGTTGGGAAAACCACTAAGTGTTGTCTGTCCTACAGCTGAGTGAAGACTCCAGATTTTAAGGGTGGGGATAAAGAGCTAGATGGCTAGATAAATATAGTTATAGATATAGAAATAGAGATAGAGATAACTAAACTCCAATGTGTCATTGAGTGCCTCTGACACAAAGGTTATATTTCTTGTTTCCCAACTCTTAGCTTAAATGCTTTGTGCAAGTATTTAATAAGAAGTCAGGTTTTTATAAAGCTTTACAATTAACAAAGCACTTTCAACAATAAGGTAATGAGATGCTAGGCAGAGTGATAGAGTGGGAAAGAATGCTCAATGTGGACTCGAATAGCACCTCTGGCAGGAGCCATTTGTCACCCTGGACAAGTCACTTACCTTTCTCAGCCTCAGTTTCCTCATCCACCTCATTCCACTAACTAGCAGAAAGAGAGAGAACCAAATGGAAACATGGCCAACTGGACCTCAACTTCACCTCTCCAGCTCATGTCATCCAGTACCACCATTTATAGATAAAGAAACTGAGGCCTGTAGTTTCTGTAGTACTTAAATCCAAGAAATTTTCTGAGGAGCAAATGAAATAAAGGTGAGCCAGGTAGCAGGGTGGATAGAGCAGTGGGGTCTTCCTGGAGCTGGGAAGATCTGAGCACAAATCAAGCCTCAGACACTTACTAGCTATATGACCCTTAACCACTGTTTGCCTCAGTTTCCCCATCTGTAAAAATGGGTAATAATAGCACCTACCTTCCAGAATTGTCGCGTGAGGAAAAATCAGATAAAATGTGCAAGATGCTTTGCAAACCTTAAAGCACTGTGTGAAAGCTAGCTATGATTATGATTATGATTAAGGTACCTTGGGGGCCTGCATAAATACTAGCTTTTCTAAATGTAAGAATCATTACCTTTATTTTGCCAACAAGGAACCTGAGCTCAGAGAGGCCAAGTAACTCATCCAAGGACACACAGAGTGTCCAAGCCAGAATTAGAACAAAGGCCTTCTGACTTCATATTCAGTCTTTTTTTTTTTTAACTAAACTGTGCTGGCTCCCAACAGCTTCCAAATGTTTGTTGAAATGAATTCAACTGAACTGTTACTTCTTTCAGAACTGAAAATTACATAATCTTTCTTTAGAGTTCATTTCTCTTCCCCTTCACTGACAATAATCCCTCCCTTTTTTCTATTTTTTAAACAAACACCAAGAATACAATGTTTTGAAGGAGCCATCAGATCCTCCCAGCCACAGAAAACCTGCCACAGTTTGGGCTGTCTGAGCAATTTCAATTTGGCTATTTAAGAAAAAGTTAATTTCATTCAGTTTGTTTTTGTTTTCCAAGTTCAGACCTTGATATCTGTCTTCAAGGAGGATTACAGGATTTGTAGTTAGAGGGGTTTGAAAGACCATCTAATTTAATTCCCTCACTTTAAAGAGGAGGCAGCAGAAGCCCAGAGACACTGTATATTGATTGCCGAAGGGCACACGAGTCGGTGGCATAGACAAGGTTTAAAACCCAGTGCTCTGACTGTACATCTAAGTATCAGGAGAAAGACGCCAAACAGTTTTTCCCTAACTCATAAAGGATCAACAAAGAAGAACGGAATTCAACTCATTTTCTCCCAAATGGTATCAGAGAACAATAGAGGTACAATACAAGGCAGACAGGCTCCGAATCTGAAATCCTGAGCTTCTAGCTCTGTACCTGGGCAAGTCATGAGGCTTTCTGAGTCTCAGTGATCTTGTCTGGAAATTAGGAATACCAATACATGCTCTCACAGGACAGAAAGAGCTTTGTAAACATTAACACACTAAAGCAGACCTTCTTAACTTTTGGGGGGTCCTGAATCGCCTTGGCAGCCTGGTGAGGCCTATGGATCCTTTCTCAGAGTCATGTTTTTAAATAACTGAAGGAAATGCTCATTAAAAGTTAGTAAAAATAAAGGTTTTTTTTCCCATCCACATTCATGAATCCCTAAGATATCCATTGACCCCAAGTTAAGAGTGTGATTATAGCTAGTGATTTGAATTATTATGAGACATAGAATCTCAGAGTTGAAACAGACCTCACTGGCCATCACATTCAGGCCTCTCTGGAGGGTGAATCATCTCTACAGCATCCCAGTGTTGTCATCCAGGCTTTGCTGGAATACTTCCAGTTACTGCTGCTGAGACAACCCATTACATTTTCGATTAGCTCTAATTGTTAGGAAGTTCTTCATATAACCTGTTCCCCGGCCTTTTGCTCTTATCTTTCTGAATTATTGTCCTTCACAGGGCCTGGGGTTATGATTCAAAGAAAGGAAGACTGAAGGTCTTTGATTGTCCTAGCACTGGAGAATGTGACTGTCCCTCCCCACCCCCACCCCTGTAAGTCTGAGAAAGTTCCTGCTGGCAATGCGGCAGGAGCCCCTTTATAAGGGAGGACTCAGTCTCGATTGTATTATGGCATCTACAATTGTCTTCCTCTCTTTCTTCCACTGCTCTTGAGATTTGGATTTCTTGCTTTCTATGAGAGACATCAGTGGTGGGGGCTTTTAGGGGCTACTGTTGAAACCACCACAGACAGAAGTAGCCAGTGGTCATGAGAATGAATCCACAGAAGGCCAGCACAGCAGACATCCTGATTCTGGAACACAGATGGAAGCTTGAAGAAAAGAAGATCCAGCGTTGATGAGATAGCTAGCTATTATTAACTTTATTGAATTGGTGACCTGGTCTCAACGGGGGAAGGAGGACTGTTAGGCAGAGCAAAAAATTATTTCCCTTCCCCTGCTTCCCTTTGTTTCTGGTCAGTGATTCTGATTCAGTATATATGGCAAGCGTACATATCATACCTCAGTCACATCCAAAGATCTAAGAGGGCAAACTGGGAGGGTTAGAAGACTGGAGACAGATGTTTTACTCAATTTCCTTTTGACTTTATTTTATGTTCAATAAACTATGTGATCAGGGCATGCTAAGTCTGAAATCTGTGGCTGCAACAAGACATAAACAGAAAAAGATGCCAATAAGATGGGGCTCTTGAGCTGAGTATAGAAAATGGATTTATATTTTACTCTGTTGACAACATTCCGATTTTATCCCCCAAAGTAATAAGATAAGAGTAAGTCAGTAAGAGTTGATTCAGGCTACTTTAGCACTGTTGGGAAAGCATGGGTTAGGAATGTGAAGAGGGGGGCAGCTAGGTGGCGCAGTGGATAGAGCACTGGCCCTGGATTCAGGAGGACCTGAGTTGTGTGACCTTGGGCAAGTCACCTACTCCCATTGCCTAACCCCCCCCAAAAAAAGAAAAGGAATGTGAAGAAGAATCTAGGCTTTTTCAGGATTGGCACCCACTGGTGGGCAGGGCATGGTTCGACCTCTCAGGAAGACTACTGGAGCATATGATGGATGGTAGAGAAACTGACAAATGCCACAAGGTTGGTGATGCAAGTGCAGTGTCACCTAGTGGTCAGTTCAGATATTTACTCCCTTGCTAAAAAATTAATACAGTAACTTACTGCCCTTCAGCTTTCCTATACAGATATGTGGGTGGGAGAAAGTGACAGGAGAACTATAATAAGAGACAAGGCCATTGTCCTCCCCATGCCTAGCCACATTCATGCCTATGAATAAAGAAATGAATGAATAAATGAATAAGCAAACAAAAAAATACACATTTCATATATATTCACTTCATATCATATACACACATAGATATACTAGCAAAGCCTTTTTTGGCTTTGAGTTTCTCTTTGGGTGTGTATGCATGTGCAAAAATGTATGTCTTATTCTTCATTTTGAGTCCATCACCTCTCTGTCAAAAGGTCAATAGGATGTTTCATCATTAGTCCTCTGGAATTATGGTTTATCATTAAATTGATCAGTCTTCAAGTCTTTTTTGTTTTGGCAAGGCAATTGAGGTTAAGTGACTTACTCAGGGTCATACAGCTAACAAATGTCAAGAGTCTAAGGCCGAATTTGAACTCAGGTCTTCCTGACTCCAGGGCTAATGCTCTGTCCACTGCACCACCTGGCTGCCCCATTCAAGTCTTTCAAAATTGTTTTTATTTATAATGTCATTTCTTGTATAACTTTTTCTTCTGGTTATTAAGCTTTGTTTATATTTAAAGGAGAACGTGTGACTCAGCATTAACTAGAGGATAGTTAGTTAGCTTCAAAACCAAGAAGAACTGGGTTCTAGTCCCACCTTTGACAAAGACTGGCTGTGTGATCTTAGGAGAGATACTTAAACAGCTTCTTAATGTTCCAGGTAACTTTCTATAACTATTATTTTAAAACAAAGAAAGTACTGACCTGCATTACTAGAGGGAGTTTTCTCGGGAGTTCTCAATATCAATTAAATCACAGGGCCAATTCCTATCCTACAGTGTGATCTCAGTGTAAGCTAACACTATGCCCTCCCCCACATACCAAAAAAAAAAAAAAGTCTCTCCATCTGAAGTCCTGTGGCATTTTGTTTCTACTTCTCTTGTCATTCTTTCACATTTTGCCTCATATTGGAATGATTAATATATGGTCTTATCTGTACAACTATATTATAAGCTCCATGATAGTAGATACCTTGTCTTATTTATCTGTGTATTCCCAAAGACCTTGTATAGCACTTTTTACGTAATAGGAATTCAGCAAATATAGTTGTTGAATGAATGGGGGACAGCTACTATAGGCATGTTAACCCTTATAAACCACTTATTGAATGATCTCAACCCATATACGCTTTCTTAAGAAATCTACAATATAGATTTTTATTTCCAGAGAGCCTGAACTTTCCATGGTGGGAGGTATATGGGATATGGTTTTCTTTACTCCTCCCCCCTCCTCCTTTCTTCCTCCTCCTTCTCCTCTTTTTCCTTCTCCTCCTCTTCTTCCTACTAATAGTAGCTAGAATTTACATAGCACTTTAGGGTTGCAAATCACTTTACAAATACTACTTCACTTTATTGTCACAACAGCTCTGTGAGGAATGTGCTATATAATCCTTATTTTATAGGAGAGGAAACTGAGGCAGAAAAATTAAATGATCTGCCCAGGGTCAGATAACTGGTTAGTGTCTGAGGCTGGATTTAAACTCAGAAATTCCTGACTCCAGATCTAGCATTCTATCCACCATGCCACAGTTACCAATAATTCTTTATAATATATTGCTGCTGCTATCATCATCATCATCATCATTGTCACCATTAAACTATTTCTTTCAAGTCCTTAATTCATTTGGTAGAGACATTATGGTATAATGGATAGAGAGCCAGCATCAGACTCAGGAAAGCCTGGGTTCCAATACTACCTAGAACCTCTATACTGGCCACCTGAACCTGGCAAACATTACTCAACCTCTTAGTACCACAGGCAACTATCTAAGAAACAAAGTTTCAGAGAAGATGCAAATCTTCATTAGTAGAAGGAGTTTCTTTGCTGGGAGCTCTTTATACCAGTGAATTACAGGTGCAATACCCCTCCCCATGCAAAATAATGATAATGATTTTAACCCTGTGAAAAGGTTTGTCTCCCCAAAGAGATCAAGTTTAAAAGTGGACTGAAGCCTGGAGATTTGGGTTCTATTTTCCATTCTATTATCTCAACCAAGTTACTTGCCATCTCTGGGTGCTAGGATGGCCTAATGTTCCTCCCAGCTCTAATAATCTTTGTTTTAAGGTCCTTCTCAGCTCTTATGTTTAATGTCCTATGTTCCAAGACCCCTTGTAACTCTAACACTCCCTAATAGCTCTGCTAGCCTAGCTGGGGAGGTGCTGTTCAACATTTCACCAGCCTGTTCTGAGGCTTGAGTGAAGGCAAGGAGGAACATGAGATTTAAGAAAAAAAGCATGCGATTTTTGGACATAAATAGAGAGACAAGAATGGTGATGTGGAGTGAGCCAATCCACTCATACCTTCCAGACACTTACCTGTACCAATGTAGATACTATGCACACTTTTGGGCATGAGCTTCATTCAGGGACAGGAAGTATATGAAGCAAGATGAGGAAGGAATAGACAACTTAGGGGCTGGGCAGCAGGCAGAGCAGGGCTAGAACAAAGACCACATCGCAGTGACCTGGGTTCCTGTGAGGACTGCTAGGTAGTATGCTGGTTTGAGTGCTGTTGGAGCCAAGCAGGCGGGAGTTCAGATACAGGCTCAGATGCTTCATAGAGTGTAACTCTGGGCCTCTTCACCTCTTTCAACTTCATTTTCCTTATCTGTAAAATGGAGACAGTAATAGCACCTGTATCACAAGGGCATTTGCAGAATCAAGTGAGATAATATATGAAAAGCATTTTCTGAATCTTATAGTACTATATAAATGCTAGCAGTGATAAGGATGTTAATGGTGATCATCACAACAATGGCGATGGTCATGAGGCAAAGCAATTCCAGACCATGCCGATTTTGTCTCTTCTTCAGTGATGGGGCAGAAGAATCTCCCAAACTCCAACTTCATTAACCATGACACTAGCCTAAACATTCCTCCCTTCTTAGGGAATTAAATGAAATAATGTGCCTTGGAAGAATGAAACAGAAACCTGTGAAATGGAAGTACTAGACTTGATAATGGCTCTTATTGAACCTTCTGTTTGACTATGCTTTTAGTAAGTAGGAGGATAGGGACTAGACCTGTCATTTCATTAGTACAGGGAACTCCCCTGAGGGGAAACTCCCTCAGCCAATGCTAGCTGCCATTTTACCTACAATTTATAGTCTTTGAAAGTTGTCTAGAGCACTGAAAGGGTAAGTGATTTACTCAGGGTCACACAGACAGTGTAGGTCAAAGATGGGATTTGAACCCAAGTCTTTGTGGCTTTAATACCAGTTCTCTATCCATTATGCCACTCTGCCTCTCATTCTTTTATTATTTCAATCTAATGCTTATCCTAACTGCATTAAGTCTTGAATAATCAGGAAACTCATCACACATCAGAAGGAAAAGGAGGAGTTTTACTGGGGTAGGAATGGCAAAACAAGTCCTGCATCACCTGATTGAATAATTCACCTACAAGCCCTAGACCAAATAGAAAAGGTGGCTTCACTCATAAAGAGGAGAAGCTAAGAGGCCAGTGCTCACCGGTTCTCTTAGGAGCAGGGAGATGGAGTAATTGTATTGAGGGGTACCCTAGATACATAGTGCTGTTTGAGCGACAGTACCCAGTAATTACTACTGAATAGGGTCAAGTACTGGCCATAGCACCCCCTATAGTATACCTATATAGACATACATATACACATGTGAATGTGTGTGTATTCTGTGTTCTAAATTCCTATCCACCTTTAGAACCCTATGATTCTCTGAAATAGTATACGGAATCTGGTCCTGAGAGCTAAGGATAAGGATTGGAACTGACCATTCCGTACCTTCTAAAATTTAGGTTCATGGGCACAGGGAGCTTGCTAACTGTTCAAGGACCATAGACCCTTCCAACCTCTGGCTGAAACTATGAAAGTTGATAAGTTGGGAAGATAGAATAGATAAAATAAAATGAACCTTTAAAAATAATCTGGAGTAGTACCATGTTGACTTTATCTTCTGGAAGAAGGACAACTACTGAGCTCCTGCCAAGCTGTGAGCCTAGCAAGAGGACCACGTGTCTATCAGCCTAGAACCACCTACAAGGTAAAATAATTAGTGATGCATTTTTTTGTCCACAGCAACTTGTGAGGCTATCTGCTATGACAGAGGGATAGCAATATGCACCGGGGAAGGGAGCACCCATACCTACAAAATAACAACAATAACAACAATGATTAGTATTTACATAGGACTTTAAGGCTAATTATAGTATCTCATTCGATCTTCATAACCCTGGCAGGAAGGTACTATTATAAACCCCATTCACAGATGAGGAAACTGAGACCACCATGACATCGTGTTTTTATTGTAGCCAGCTGTACTATGGTGGAAAGTATGAATGATATTAAGTGACTTGACCAGGGTCACACAGTTTGTGTCTGAGGCAGGATTCAACCTCAGGTCTTCACTGCCTCCAGGTCCTTCACCTTATCCACTACAGCAAAATCTCAAATGGTTTGATGTATACAGGATCCAAACCAATCTCAAATTACTACTCATACTTCAGTAGCCACTCATGTACCACCTAATCTATAAAATCTTTCCAAATCTGTCTTGAGTCAAAAATGGCCCTTCATGCCTCAGGCCTCAAGTAGCACCTTGTAGCTTTCGTTCATAGTTATCTTGTTCCATGCTGTGATACAGTTATTTGCGCAAATTAGCAATCCCTACCCCCATGCTGGATTTTTAAGCTCCTTGCAAGCAAAAACTATGTCTCATTGAGATTGGCATGTGTCCCATACAGCTGACATTTATTTAGTGCCTCAAGTTTCACAAAGCCCTTTACTCACCTCATTTGGCCCTGCTGTATCCATTCTCTCCAGTCTTCCAGATCAGAACACGAAAGCTCAGAGAGATGGAGTGAGTGGCCCCAGTCAGACAGCTAATACTTGACAGAGCCAGGAATCAAACCCAGGTCTTCAGACTCCGAGTACTCCGAGTACACCCTGAGCACAGGGCCCTGACAATAGCACTTAGTAAATGTTTGTCTAATTGGATGGAATCACCCAATGAAGAGAACAGGAGGGGCAACAAGACACTCAAATTGTAAATATCAGGAATCGCATTTTATCATAAAAACAAGTAAAGGAGCTCCAAATCTAAAGCCTACTTCCATCTATCTTTGTTTGTTGACACACAGTCCTCGGGGAGACAGCCCCTAAAACTGACACGCAAATGGGAACTCACAGGGACAGAAAAGACTGCCAAGAAGCAGAAAAGATACAAAGCAATTATGAGAGCAGTTTCACCTTTGCCCCAATCAGCATTGGCCCCAGAGAGTAATGTGAAGCATAGAAGTCAAGGAGAAATTGGAATAAGCTTCTGTTGTCTTCTTTGCTGACACCTCATTGACATTTCATTAGGATGAGTCATTCCTTGGTGCTCAGTGTTTTCTTCGAAGGAGGATTGTTTCTTTCCTGTTAGATACCCATAATGCTATTCAAGAACCCCTGGGCCTACTGGAATTTTTATTAAGAATTCCAGATACCCCAGCAAAATCCTTCCTCAGCATATTTCGCTTCCTTGTTGTTCCTACCATGAATGAAGTGTTGAGAAAAAAGAATCTTCCCCATGACATCATGTTTTTATTGTAGCCTGCTGTATCATGGTGGAAAGAATGAATGAATATAAAGCCATTAAATAAGCATTTTGCTATGAGCCAAGTACAGTGCTAAGCATTGAGAATACAAATACAAAAGCAAAGTTAGCCCCTGCCCTCAAGGAGCATCCATTCTAATAGAGAAGACAAAGAAGTGGTGGCCAGGAAAGGACCCTTTGTTCATGAAAGTTATAAAGATGTTACTAGATGATGGATGGTGAGAGAAAGAAGTAAAATAAGGATAAGAAGGAGAGGAAATAGGGATAAAAGGATAAGGAAAAGAGAGGGAATAGAGATAAGGAGAGGAGGAGGAAATTGAAGTATCTTTTCTTTAAAATACACAGAAGAGAATAGAAAGTCAGAAAAAAAAACCACAGACAAGCACCATAGCCTTGAAAGCTACAAGCTGAATTTATTGTATGAAATTATAATTTAATAATTATTAATTAAAGGGGGCAGCTAGGTGCCACACACAATGCTAATCAGTGTCAAAAAAAATTAAATAGCCCCTGCTTTCAAGGAGCTCACATTCAAAATAGATTTTATATTCCCTTTCCTTTCTCCCAAGTATGAAGGCTCTCTACCTGAATCGTTCTTTTTTTTTTTCTTCTTGAAAGGAGGAAAGAGAAAGAAATTAGTTCAAGTCACAGGAAGCTATGAAAGGTTTGCTTTCAGGGAGTTTGTTTTAGCTTTTAAGTCTCCCAGAATTCCCTTTCTTAGCTATTTGCAAAATGTGGTACTATGGAGAGATACCCATTTCCTCCTTCCTCTTTCCTTCTTTCTTCTTCCTCCGCTCTCCTTCCTCTTCTTTATCTCTCTTTCCTAAGAGCTTGCTTGAGTCTCAGCAGGTCACACCTTGAGCTCACAACTCAAGAGGATGAGTTGAGCTCAGGCCAGCAAAAAGGCCTTGCAAAAGGCAGAAGAAACAACAAATAAATCCGAAGCCAAGAAGAGCTGAGAAGATGGCGGATGTAACTGTATTCACCCAAAGATGCATTATGGGCACAAGGGGTAAGAAAGAAAAGGGTCTTAAACTATTTAAGTAGAATTCATTGGAATCAACTGTCTTCATTCCTGGTCATCCAACAGAACCCACTTGACAAAAAAAATGGTAAATTTTTAAAATGCTATTACTTTGGCCATATCTCTCATTTCTAATTTAGCAACATTGACTTGGGTAGTCCCAGATTCATGCATTTGTTGCCAAGAACTGTCAGCTCTACTCCTTTCAACTGTCTTTCCACATTTATAATTTATATAATATTTTCTGGACATCTCCTATGTCCATAGTTTTTTTTTCCAGCTCCTATTCCCACATGTCTGGAGGAGAATGGAGGCTGATTATTCTGTCCAATAGGGCGACATATTCTTAGGGTCAGAAATATTACCATTTGGGGATGGTTTGCCACTGAGGGCTGGAAGCAAGATGGGAAGGTTGATAATTCCAGGGGAAATCAAATAGTTATGCAGACTAAGAGCCTGTGCAGCAGTATGTATCACTACTCTTCCCCTCCCTCCCATAAAGGTACACCTCTCTCCTCCATTAGAATGTAGGATCTTTTTTTTTAGAGCAAGGAATGGCCTCATTCTTTGTATTTTTATCCCCAGCACCTAGCACAGTCTGGCTCACAATAGGTACCTAATAAATGATTGATTGATTACTTTAACTTGTAATTAAGAGTGGTTTGTCCACAAGATCAGGCCCTTGGGTGTTTGTGAAATAGTGTGTTGAAAGTCTAAAGGAGTGAAGTGAATATTACCAGAACAATTAATATTATATTGATTAAAAAAAAAAAACAATCTCAAGACTTGAGAACTCTGATCAAAGAAATATTCAACCATTATTCCAAAGAACTGACAATAAAGAATGTTAACCACCTCATGACAAAGAGAGGACAGATTAATATGCAGAAATCCACGTTTTTTGATGTGGCCAATGTGTGAATTTTTTTTGCTCGATGATGTTTACATGATATGAAAGTTTTTTTCTTTCTTTCCTTTTCTTTCTTTTTTCCCAGTGGGCATGGGGAAGTGCA